CGGAGGGGGGGGGGGGGGGGGGGGGGGTAATTTAAGGTGTTGAAAAATCTCTGCTGGTGTAAACAGGACATAAATGATGTATTTGAATTGTTTGTATATATGTTTATGAATCTTTAGTGGAGGATGTGGGAGGAACTCAGCGCCAGTTCTCTCTCTCTCTCTCTCTCTCTCTCTCTCTCTCTAATATATACAGTATATAATAAAAAAAGACCCTTGGATTTGACCTTGGCCTTTCATCGATTCCACTGCACAACCAAAGACCTCGGATACATGTTTGAGCACACACCGGTGTGTCTGTATACAGACGATCCTTGGTTGTATTTGTGTAAATGAAAAAGTGCCCAGTTTGTAATTAGTGCCACGTCCCTGTAACGTCCCTGTAACGTCCCCCCCCCTCACGCATCATCAGGTCTCGTATCTCGTTAGAAAAGAAGCAGAACAGCCCTTTTGGAGAAACACCGTCACAGTCTCTCTGTGGACTTTTGAACAACCTGGTTTTAGCTCCGGTGTCTTTTTCAGCAACACTTGCCTTTGAACAGAAACAACGTCAATATAGAAAAAAAAAAAAAAATCTAAAGAAAGGCCGTGTTTGTTTATTATTTATTTTAGTCGTATCGGTAAAATATGTGACAGAAAGGGGGAAATTGAAACGTTTTTTGTGTTTATTAGACAGTGGAAAAAAAAAAAAATTACATGATAATCTTTAATACAATTTTACATTACAGAAATAATATTAGCCACAGAAAGACTGGTTCAAGATGTCATTAATTCATTTCAAAGACAAAAATATGAACAAAGAGCATTTAAGTTTTACACCTTGATTTCTTGATTTTTTTTAACCTTTCCCCCCCCAAAAAAAAATTAAAAAAAATCCCAAGATACATTTCGATGACAATTCCGGTATTTAGCCACAGAGAGTCTTCAGTGGTTTGCTCAACAAACCACAGCCAGCCACGGTGGGATTTGTACCTGAGATCATCTGATAACAAACTTCATGTTGTGTAGTACTTGTAATGATATTTTGAGCATTTTAGAAAAAGTCGGAACGCTACAAATGTTCACATTGTCCTCCTCCTACTGAACAGGAGATAAATGGTCAACAACGTCCCTAGAGTGCCCTCTACTGTATTACCCTCTACTCCACTATTGAACAGGAGATAAATGGTCAACAAGTCCCTAGAGTGCCCTCTACTGTATTACATAATAATAATAGTATTCAGAAATGTTTGCATTTGAATCATTGGTTGAATGGAAGTTCAGTCTCTAGATGTAAAGTGTAAAGTGCTGTGTGTAAAACTTTCGTTGTTTTCTTGGGAGAGCAGCTACTTAACAATAGAAGACGCAAAACACACACACACAAAAAAAAAACACACACACTCTGTTTGTTTGTTTGATTACTCTGTCTCGGGGTGTTTAATGCACTTTCATCTGCAAAGATCATTTCAGGGAAAACAAAGCTAGTCATCACCGCCGGAGCTAATGATGTCGTTCCATTAACAACAGCAGGTTCCGATAATGTCTGTGCATAACCAACATCAGGTTCACAAAGAAGACTCATCTTCCCGTCCCGTCACTCTGACCCCGGGTCAGTCCTGTTCCGACTGTTCTCCCTCCTGTCATTACAAATGCGTTGCTTTGCTCATTATGACTTGCAGCGTCATAAACATCTGTCGTCCGCGGTCCTGACCCTGGTGAACCTGGAGCTGCGGCGCATGGTCAGACAGAACTGAAGGCAGAAGGGGCCCCACAGTCAGAAAGGTCGGAGGGCAAACTGAAACACCAGATTGTAAATACAGCGGTCCCTCTCTAATATAAAAACATTTTGTGATAAAAACATTTTCTAACTGTAAAAATATAGCTGGTAGCTTTGTTTATATTCTTTTTTTTTATTCTCGGCGTCTCCCCTTGTCCGTCCACCGTTACATAGTGCGTTGCTGTAAAGTCTGTTGTCTGTTCTGTTCCTCACGCTGATTGGCTCACGCATCTCAGCATCTTCCCTTGTCGATTGGCTCGTGTATCCTCTTTTTTTTTTATTCTCTTTTTATTTTTTTATTTTTATTCTTATTATTATTATTATTTTATTATTATTATTATTATTTTATTCTTATTTATTTATTTATTTTATTCTATTTTTATTATTTATT